TTAAGTTTGGTGAAGATAATGCACGGGGAAAGGTAGCTAAGAGGCACCTTATATAGCTATTATGTTCTAAAATTAAAAAAAAAAAAAAAAGAAAAGAAAAACACAAACCCATTATTCAACAACAATTGCACAGCTAATCAGTGCTGTCTATAAATATTCCACTTTGTAAATTCCCCCCGTCAGTGGTATGTACATTTTTCTTTTAAACCTGAATTCCTTCAACACAGAAAGGAAAGGGGAGTAAGAAAATAAAAATCAAAGGGATTTAAAATACATAGTCAGGGTCTTTTTAAGTAGAATTTGCCCAATGCCCTCACCTCCCCCAAAAGAGCGGAGAAAGTGAAACGATGGGAAAACCTCTTAAGGAGGAGGAATCAGATTAAATGGTCATATATCCTGCGCTCAGCCTCTCCCTGCCGGTCCCCGCCGAACGAGATGGGAGTTGGGAAAGGCTCACAGCTGAAATAGATGCTGCTGCATTTTGACAGCAGATATTTTCCAGTTTGCCATCCAAGGACCCCACGTCTGCGTACGCCTTGCCTGATTCTTCTGCTTAGCTATTCTGCTCATGCAGAGAACAGCTTAAAAAAAAAAAATACCAAGAGAGAAAAAAAACAAGGGGGAAAAAAAAGAGGCTGTAAAGACAGAGCCCCTACCCCTGCCTTCAAACTTTTTATAAATAAGCAATGCAATTTCCGATTTCAATCCCTATTGACAGAGGAATCAATTGTATTTAGGACAACAATGCCTCCCATTTCCATAATTATTATTCCAAAAAGCCAGCCAGCCATTTGAAGGCAGTCCTGCCCCTTCCCTCGCAACAAAGCAACCAACAGCAAGTGAAAACACACCGAATGAACGGCGACAACTTATATGTATATTTAAGCAGCAATTTCCCCCCCCTCCACGTGCTCGCATTTGATCAAACCTCTCAACTTTTGTTACTTTTAAACAGACATCACCCCAAAAGAAACAATCTCCAGGTTGCTGACAAAAGACAACCCCCTGAGCTTTTTTAAAAATTATTATTATTAATATTATTTTTTAAAGTGTTTATAAATGCTTTAAAATAACTGAAGAGCCCAAGTGCAAAAGGGAACTCTTTGGCCAATACAGACGACCTCTTTTTCTAAGAACTTTATGGACACTTTGGGTTTGCTCAAGACAACGTTAACGCTATGAAATATTAGCCATAATGTTGCAAGAGACGGCGGTAAAGTCTCCGTAAGACTCTGGAGTCACTTAAATCAGGCAGCGGGGTAACTGAACGCACATTTCTGCACATCATAACGCCAGGGGGAAGATGTACGCACGCACTTTCAAACACCCACCAGTGACCACAAACAATCACCAGGATTTCAAACGCGACACATGCAAAAATCTGGGAAGCAAAATGGAAAGTGGGAAGAGACAAGTTGGCTCAACTTTCACGCCACTGCCCACAAGGAAGCAGCAAGCAACCAGAAGCAGGTGGTACCCTCAGCCCCAGAAAAAACACGGCTAACTTCCTCCTAGCAATGGGTCCACAAAGCAATAATTAAAAAAAAAATAAAACAAAACAAAACCATCTGGCTGTTTTGTTTCCTTACAAAGTATGACTTTTGGGGATGCAGATGGGGGAGAGGGGAAGAGGTCTTTGAATTTGCAAAGTAAAATAATTCACCGTAAACATATTTGAGGGTAGAAAAACAATGCTCCAAAAGCCATCTCAATTAAACCTCTTTGGAGACCTTTATACAGCATCCCCATAGCAAAGTAACCCAGGCACAACAGCAACACGTAAAATTTATAAAAATCTAAGACAACCCCAGTTCACAGCTGAATATCCTTTATTTCCAGCAGCATGCTTTGCCCTATACCATCTCTCTCAATTTTCTTTAGCAGACAGGAATTATTCCACCCAGTCACTGTGGGTATGTACAGCTCCCTATCCCTCCAGGATCCCACAGCATCCCCGAGGTCACCTGGATTTCCCACCAGGTCTGGTCCTAGCAGACTTCCCTTCCCCTAAACTTTGCAACTGCACCGACAGCAAAGCCAAGCTGGGATTAATCAGTTACCCTGCCAAAAAGTACCCCTGCACGGGCAATGTACACAGCATCAAATACATGTGGAGAACAGGCAGACAAACATTTTCTTTGGCTCACACAAAATAAAAGGAGAAAGAGGGAAGAGAAGGTCCTTTTTGGGGGGTAGCACACAGGGAAACACTATAAAACCCATAAAATTTATCTCTAGGCAGACTCCCTTGTGTTACATCATATGAACTCTACAGAGGTCCATTCCCATACTGAACCCACTGCTCGATATTATGGGAACTCCATAAGGAGGGACTCCTCAGGAAGGTCAGACCCGGCCACGCAGCCGTGAGGACTTCAGAGAGCCGAATGCAATCGGTAGGTGCTTTGTCTGGGCTACACGCTGCACAAACAACATTTAACAAAGGGCCCCCTTAGTCATTTTATATATATTGCAAGAGTCAAGTAATTGTATTTTCAATCAGCTGCTCACGCTAGGAGGTTTTATATATATATATATTTAAGAAAGAAAGAAAGAAAGAAAAAAAGAGACCCAGATTCAGGTTTCTGAAAGCTGTTCCCCTTTTATGTGTAACTATCAATGTATATCAACTGGGTGTGCAATCATATTTATTGTCACTTTCATTCATGTCATGCCCTTGCTTATATGGTTTAGATATGAATTATTGACTGTTACAGTCCTTGTTGTAAAAGGCGGGGGGGGGGGAGAAGTCAAGTACTTTGCAGCATGCTAAAACAAGGCAGCTAGATCGGCACGGAAAAGCCTGCCGATCAACTCTGGTCAGCTCAGAAAGCCAACACCAGAGATGACTGCCCCCCAGCTGAATTTCCATCATTCCCCCCATTTTTTTAGTTAAAAAAAAAAAAAAGAGAGATTCCAACAAATACGTAAATAAGTGGTGCATGTTGCTAAATGTCCTTCCCCGAGCATCTGTTGTTTAAGATCACCCTTGATTGATGACTGCTATTTTTTAATTGTTGCTTTTAAAATTTAAATGCCCCCCTGGGATGTGTTATAAGTGTGTTAGTACATGGTAGGAGGTCTGGAAAGTGGGAAACGGCAGAACCAATGCTCTCATGCCATTAGCTTCTTTAGAAGCCTGAGAACACCCCATGCCATAAAACAACAGTACCCTAAAGTAACTAACAATCTAATATATTGCTTTCACTAAAGGCAACTGACAACTAGCTCTTACATGAGCTAGCCTGGATGATTGGCAGACAAGAGCATTTTAACCCTTTCTTTTAAAAAAAAGCAAGAAACCTTTACGTTTACCTGAGCAGTAACAGTAGTAGAACTGCACAATTTCATTTTGTTGTGTTTCTTCCCCCCCTACTCTGTACTCAGATTTTTTTTTTTTTTTTTTTTAAACAGCGCCATGTCTTAAAGAAGAAACTAGAGCAAGACAGAAATTGCAAGGGGTTTGATTTTTTCTTCCCCTCAGAAAAAGCAATAAATAGAGGCTATACAATAGAAATTAAACCACGATATTTTCCCTTCCAGACACAAACCGCATCATGCAAGTTGACCGCCAGAAGCATTAAATACCAGCAAGTTATTTCTCCCCACTTAAATATTGCTACATGGGGAGGGGGGGGGGGGCACAAACTTGGTGGAATAAAACCCTCAAAGAGCAAAAAGGAAAATAATATGGAACCAACAGCATTGATTTCCTACCTGTTTTTTCTTTGATTTCACACAAGACATTAAAAAGGGCTGGCTTCATCCTGTGGCAGTTTAAAGCGTGTTTCCTGGAGAGAAAAGAAAAGAGGGGAGGGTGAGGTTAGGATGTCACCACAAGGAACAACTTTCCAAATTCACACTGGCTGGCATGTGCATGCCGGGGGGGGTGTCGGGGGACGGGACGACACACGTTTGAGCCCCCTCGGCCCTGCCATCATCCCTGCCAGGACTTTAGCGCCGGTGCTGCAAACAGCCACCTACCTAACGCAGAGGAGATGAATTATGCCAATTTAGGAATGGCTCGAAAATCGCCTTTGCCACCGAGCGGCTCCTACTGCCGGTGCGAGCCAGGCGATGCACCGAGCTGAAGCCAGAAGCTTTTGGGAGCCAAGCTCGGTTCAACTGTCTTATTCAATACAGAGAGAGCACTGGGCTCCCTCTGTCCCCCACCTCCAATATTAAACCCAGCCATGTGCTTTATTAGGCTCACCCTGCAAGGCAGAAGGGAAATAATCCCCCCCTTGCCCCAGCACTGGAAACATCCTCTGCTTAGAGCTGTCAATTCGGGGAATTTTAGCGCCCAACTTGGAGTGCAGAGACACACGCGCACGTACGGAGAGAAAAACCCATTCCTCTGCCTCCATGCTACTTAAATCCAGCTTCTTTGCAGGTGTTAAAATTTAATTCTTTACAATTGGGACAGTAAACACGTTTAAAAACACAGCTGGCTGCTTCTGGGAACGGGAGGGCGTGCTGTTCAATACCTTTCTTTTTGGTTGCTGTTATTTCAGTGCTGACCATTCTCCTGTGGGTTTTGAGCAGAGAGGTTGGGGGGGGGGAGGTTAACCGGCTGTTTTTAAAACCCACCATGTGCCCACTGAGGCAAAGAAACAGTATGATTATTTTTTTCTATTAAGCCATACGATCATTTAACCAAGGGTTCAGTTGTATAAAGGGCTGTTGCTATCAGGCGCCGGTTACGGGATTTCTGTTTACCAACCGAAATTACACGCGAAAGACGATGTGAACATCTGGCAAACATTCACACTACTTACCCCACCACCCACAACATGTTAAAAAGATTTATATATCTGATGAAGTCTCTCAAAGGTATATACCCTTGCAGAACCACAGCGTCCCCTTATCAGCACACCCAGATGGGCGCAGACATTTGGGTATACACAAATCACATACATATGCTGTAGGGGCCGTCTTACAAATAATACTTGCACTTTACATCTTCCCAAAACTTCATTAAAAAAAACCAAAAAAAACGAAAAAGAAGAGAGGCAGCAAAGCAACCATGCAATAGTAGGATGGATGGAGGAAATGCAAAGCCAAACATCACTGATAAATACAGCATGTTTGGCAGCTCAGCATTAAAAATAATAATAATAAAAAAAAAGTACTGTGAGGAAGCAGCTGAAATAGTCCAGCAAGACAAACCCATAAAGCCTTCTCCTAGCTCTGTTCTGCTTTGGTTTTATTGATTCGATTAACTACACTAAATTATCCAGGCAGGAAGACACACAATTTCTGCAACTTTCCGAAGGAAAATCCCCTCACTGCCCCGAGTCTGGCCGGGGAGAAAGTGCATGATTTCCTCTTCCTAACAGCTACTCTGCCCCTGCAAGAACACAAGAAAATCAGTAAGACCAGCCCGGCAACAAGCCTTTTTGGTAAGCGGGAGCTTTACACAAGCCGGGGAGGACATAAGCTAAGGTTTAGGGGGTACTTTCATCCTTCTGGCAGTTCTTACTAAGGGAGTCTTGGCGCTGTGCGGTGCGTTTTTCCAGGAACAATGTACTCTAGCAATCCGCTCCGGCTCGGGGCATGAATGCCAGGGGGAAGGACACCACACCTAGGAGCTCTGCAGCCCAGAAGAAATTTCAAGTGTACCCCAGGCAATTCAAGGCAACTTTTTTTTTTTTATTTCTTCAACTGTGCCTTCAATTTCGGGATTATTTTTTTCCCCACCCTTAACTTTTGCTAGTGCCTTTCAAGGTGCGTATTAGGTTTGCACTCCTTGAAGCCAGGGGCAATTCGGTTACCAGCTTTTACAGCCTTTTTTTTTTTTTCTTCCCCTTTTTAAATACCTCTGCAATTAAGAATAAAAAAAAAAAAAGAAACAAGCTTCTATGTGCATCCTCCAAGCGCAAAAACACGGCCTGAAAAATAACACCACTGCAGGGCCCTAAAAAAGAACATTATTAACGCCCCTAAAAAAAAAAAACCCATGGAGCAGCACTTTGTGCCTCTTTCCAAGGAGCCCAAAGCAGAGCCCCCCGCACGCCCAGCCTGCTCCGACAACCAGCCCCCTCCGGCATTAACCCCCACCCCAAAAAGGGCTGGGAAAAGCCAGGCCGCCCGCCCGGCCGAGCCCCACGGTGGGACCCCCGGTGGGGAAGGGGCCGGGGTGAGGCGGCAATGGGGGG